GTGAGGTCACAGTTGTGGGCACCCAATGTTTCATAAATCCTGTGTATCATAAATACCCGACACTATTCATCTTTATGACCTACTTTATCTCACTTGATATTCAGAACTGTTTTTCATCTCAAAAACGGCATGTGTATGTAACCTGTGGTCTGCAGAAACATCTTCCAACTGCAACAGCCTTTAAGCAGTCTTAACTTGACAACTTTTATATCACCTTATTAATGGTACCTTAAATTAGAACTTAGAGATCTGTCTGAACACCAAGTTGTCAATCCTTTGATACACATTACTAACACTTTATCCTCTTCACTGTTTGAATTAAAGCAGCAAAATTGAAGATTTGCCGTGATTACTCCTTCACCTCTTCTTAGAGATGAGGAAGTCATTTCAAAACTTGCTTATAATTGATTTCAAAAAAATATTTATTCCTCCATGAAGCTAAAATACATTTCATTAACAGAATGTTATTTCTGCTTGAAATTTCATTTGAATTGTCTCTCCCAGTAAACAGTGACCTCTTTTGTCAAAAAGATGCTCCATGCTAATAACATAATATGTTTTTTCACTATTAATTATGGAAATTTACTGTAATTACAGCAACTGTTATATAAAAATATTATATAGAGACTGGGGATTCAAATCCTTTCCAGCATATATCAACCTGTTGTGGACTTGGAGTAGTACAAAGTCATCCCATCCAAGCCCTCTTAAGGACGCTAAGGTCTACGCGCTGCATCGCTTTTTGCCAGCCGTGAAAATAGATACTTCAGTAGTAGAGACTACTGTGGTCAATAATCTATTAGTATTTTTCACAACACTTTCATCTGTAAAGACCTAACTGCTCTCAGACCACCACGTACAGGAATCACAGCTGAATTTAAAACCGTTGACAAAAGAGCAAACCATCAGAAGCAGCTGACCCTTGGCTGTATCTTCACTGGTAAATGCAAGTATGCCTGAGCACATGATCTTGCTGGTACAGAGGTAGCCCTTGCCTGTCATACTAACAGTTCTAACCTATGGGGAGTGTCTGAATCCCTGACAAGATGACTACTCTGTGTTCTAGATCAGTTTTAAAAGATGACCAGGAACATATTTCTTCTAATTAGATAAGCTCTGAAATAAATATATAGAGAGATTGCCGAGATGAAAAGTATATACAGTTCTCATTTCATGAATCATCAAAACGAGAGGGAGAAGTCATAGCCCTGCCACTTGTTTGCCTAGCACTGAATTCTATTTCTAGATATTTCCTGGTTATGAAAATTTTGCAAATAACCCAGATACGTATTAAAATTCCTGCTACTATTTTCAAAAGTTGATAGACTGCGTACCATACTGCTTGGTAAGTTTACACTTCAAGCCCTCTGGAAACAGAAATGTAATCCTTCATGGTACTTAGTATTGTTTTCGTTTTGCCCCAAGATTCTGAAACATGTAGTAAATATAGATGTGGAAGGGCCCTTCCACATAATTCACTGGCAAAGTGAAAGAAAGTGTCTCACATAGGTTTCCCTTTTACTGACAAGCCCCAGTTGCCAACCCCACAACCTATTAATAACTTTGCTGCAGTCTCTGCAGTGTCATTAGATGCCAGTTATTGCCCAGTTTATAGTAGTGGGTCCCCCAGAATACTGCGGACCTTACTGGGAGCTAAGTATTTATCAGAAACCAAATTCTGCTGTTAAACTAAACAAAAAGATAGTTTCTTCTAGAGATAATTTCCCTTTAAATACACACTAGAGCCAATAATCAGACTTTTGATCTTTAGTTCCCCACTCTAGTGCCAACTATTTTGACCTTCCAGGACATGAGAGGCTCTGATTTAGAGGCAAGGAGACATTCCTGTCAGAACACAGAACACTTTATACAAGTCAGCAAAGCCACAGATCTTTGCTAGACGCTTTACACTTGCAAGGTAGCGAGTCAGGTCCAACATCCATCCAGAGAGTCCAGGCAGCAGGTCAGGGTCAAGCGACAGCATGGCTCAGGCAAAGCTCTATGCTCAAATGCAGCTCTGGAGCCTGTGGGCAGAAGCTCCAGATGAGACTGGTCAGGGCAGTTAAGGCCTATGGGTGTGCTCAGGGCCCTGACAACCGCAACTTGGGTAAACGTACTATAAAGCAGCCCTTTGGATCCACCTCCTGCACAAATTCCCTTTGTGTTCTACCATAGGAACACTACCCTGATCCTGTAACGCAAGTCATGCTACACTGCAGTATTTTCTGACTGTGAGTTGTCATTAACAGCTCTCTAAAATTGCAGCTTTACTTGTTATTAAAGCCTTGTTTTTAAATGACAGTTTGAAGATCACCCTGAGAAATAAGATTATGGAAAGAAGAGAATTTTGACTAGCTTCTCGATATTTTAGGAACTTGGTAGGCATGTATTTAGACACTTAGGTCGTACTCAACTTAAGAAAGCCTACAAATACTTAATAAAAATGAAAGTGAAAATCTGACCATGTTTGAATCTTCCTGCCCAATTTCTGCAAATATTTGTGCAAACCAGTAGAGAGATCTATTTGTGAAAAGTTAGTTACTTTCTAAAGCTTGTAGTCATACTATAGCTCTGTACTCAAGCACTATATTAATCATATGAAAATACCAGAAAAAGTGACCACGTAGAACTAACCATCACTATGCAAATATTGAATGAGTAATATTTACTATGAACTGAAGAGCTTGCAAACAAGAACTTATTCCTAAATGCTGTTAAGTAATACGGAAAGACTACAATTTCGAGAGACTATTGCATTCCTACATACATTGAAAAAGAGAAAAATTATGTTAAATTAGTTAGCTATAGGATTAGCAATGAATTATTTAGTAAGCTTTACTCATATACATAATTCTCCACAGTCAAGCATGCAAATCAGATCAGGTAATTCTACACAAACATGTGATCATTAATTTCATATGCAATTACTTCATTAGTATCTGTAGTTGCAGTATTTACAAGTACAAATTTGATATATACCTGTTTACATATTTTACACAGACACTAGTGCCTTCTTAGAGTCCACATAGGTACACAACATAGAATATCTGATTTGTATACTTCAGCGAGCTCAAGATAAGGCTATATGCTCATTACAGAAGTTTTCATCTAATTGTAGAAGAGTATTTGCAACTTTCTTTTTCCCCTTTGGTTTGTAGAGCATAAAGGGTAGTGTGTTCCAAATAGAGTTTTTTGCTGATGTCAGATAATATATTTCAATATTCATTTGCAAAAGGATAGACAGCAAATGCAGAGTGGTCTTTTACTTATGTCCTAATAATTGCTGCCCTGTTGCCCTGCTATAACGGATAATTTATAATTGATAAATTTTTTTTTCCTGAAAACTTCCCTCTGTTAACTTCCTATGTAGGTAGCAATATTAGAAAACTGTGTTCACATTCAGATTTTCTGCAGATGGTTATACTCAACAGTATGTTCTTATCTGTAGTTTCTATGACTACTAGAGCAGCACTAATTTCTTAAAATTGAATGGACCCAGAATCTAATTTGTATATTTAAACAAGAACATGTACATTTCCTCTGAAAGCTATTCCAGCAGAAAAAGCATACATATATCTATTTTAAAGCAAAATATAGGCATATATATTCAATTTCAAAGATGTATCAAACACAGCACAGTGCAATCCATTTTAACTATGTATTTTATATGCAATGTTGGGAAATTGTAGCCAGTATTGAGTGAATTCCACTTTTTCCTTTTCCAAATTTTCACTATAAGGCATGTGAATTTATATTGAGACAAAACAATACAATAAAAATAACATAATAAACCTTGTGTTCCTTTCTCAAAGGCTTTCCTGTGTATCCTACAGGTTTCAGCTTCCAAGACTTAGCATCTTTTTTTCATGCATCACTTACATCTGTTATTTCATTTGTATTCCCTGACCTGAACAAAAGAAAGCACTGAAATATATGCAGATGTTGTAAGACTGACTAATTGTATTGATTTCAATGGTATTAGATACGCGTTTGAGTAATACCTTTTCTAATAACTGCAGTTCCTTTAAAGATATCATGGTCTTAGCCACAAGAATTTTCCTGACACCAGAAAAGTACACTGCCAAAATGAACAAAATTCATCATACCTATTAAAGGTATTTCTAATTGAAGGTATCACTTATTTTTATGTTCCTTGTATTTTTCTGCTTGGCTTTAATCTACCAGTTTTTACACGTGGATTTAATTTTACTCTGTTTTGATTATGCAACTACTGTTTTTACATCCAAAAGAATTCCTCAGACAAAGAAAATCCGGGTTCAATAAAATCATCATTTCATAACCACACATCCTCCCCACCAGCCAGGCAGCTAGCACGCTTGCAGCTCTGGACAGCCTGCGCAGCCACTAGCTGGGGAGCTCGGAGTTCTGGATAGCCACAGAGCTGCTGAGCCACGTAGCTGGACTTCCTTGTTTCCAGCCAGCTGGCTCACTTGTCCATCTTCCCTTCAAATATTGATGAATTCACATAAAATACATATCTGTTAAATTAACATTTTTCAATGCACTACCGTTCTGCCAGAAAAATTCCAGCTGGATTTAATATTAAGTTCTGGAAAGTAAATTAGGATTTAATTTTCTGATTTAAATCAAACTATCAATAGATCCATTTGTGTCCTCTAGCAACTCCCTCATGCTAGTTTTCCTGTGTGTCAATTTACTTCTTTCCTTTGAAAAGCCCTGCAGAGGGAGCAGGAAATACAAAGAACATGTATGCCAGGGCACAGTGGAGGAGCGTTCTCCAGTTTTCGTTCTTTTCAGTGAACTCTCTATTAAATGTTATCCTGCAGCCTTCAGAGTTTGCCCATGTGCTCCTAGATATGTATCTTAAGACGTACAAAGAACTTTCCTGGCTAACAGTGAGTGCGAAAAGGGTTTTTTGTTGTTGTTTTGTTATTGTCATTAAAAAAAACTCTTATGTACCCCTAAACTATCAATTTCATGGGTGAGTTGAGGAGCTAAGCGAAGACAGCCTTTCCTACCTTTTGGTTGTCCTGAGGAAGAGGGAGGGCTGGTCATCTCTAGAAAATGGTATTTAGAATCACTGCTCGAAGAATTGGAACACTCTGGGCTCATCAGTTGTCCTGAAATCACTCTTAACACAGGCCAGGCTAAGATGAAAGCAAACAAAGATATATATATTTTTTAATTTAAGCACAGATAACAATCATTCTTGGTTGGGAAACATAACGAAAAAAATACATATTTTTCAATGTACATGTACACTGCACATGTACACCTAAGTTAGTCCTGTAGACTTCTCTTAGGCTACAAGATTTACTTAATATACTAACAGATAACTCACACCATTTCTAGCTGAGGGTTTTGATATTCATTTAACCCTATGCCTTCAGGCCACATTCATGGAAAACAGTTCAGACCAAGCAGCCTCGATTTTGTCTAAATCTATCTTTGGTAGAAATAAAAATGAAGTCCTCTGCCTTCCATTCTCTATCTCATCTCCACATCATTTAGTATCCAAAAATCTGACCAGGCATTATTATTTTCTTTCATGTGTTACCTTCCACTTCAGGAAGGCTCATATACCTACGGTCTGAATTAGTTTTTCCTCCAGCTGCTCCAGAAAACTCAGTGAGCACATGGGAGAAAATAACATGTGTTCTCTTCACTTTGTTATGCCCATCCACTAGTTTTATTCCAGCTAAGATGGAAAACTAGTATTTCTGTAAATGCTTGAAGAAGAAACCCTCTGTAATTGACATCTGTAACTACAGTGTTACCACCACCTGTACAGACACTGCAATCATTTTTTTCTGATGAAAACAGGAAAAAAAGCAGCTTAAGGAATAAAATATCCTTTTTTCTTTTTAAAAAAAAAAAAACAGTTTAAGCACCCATACATCGTTGTTATCAAGAACAATCAGAATAGTTTAACACATGCACATGATGACCAAGTTAATATGACTATTAAAACTTTAAATTTACTTTTTTTTTCCTGTTGATATAAGCATTACCATAAAATTCATACAAGTCAGAGTAAAATCCATACCTTTCCAAAACATCTAGCTTAAGCTAAATGCCTCAAAACTCAATCTGAAAACACATGTTTATAACACAGGAATTATCGACTGGTGCCTTGGACTTGTAACTTACCTTTTATGAAATGATGGCAGTCTAAGACACCTATTGAAGCAAATGAAAATAAACTAGTATATGAAAAAAAGAATAGGTGCTCCCTAAATTAATGTTTTGATAGCTCAAAATAACAAACTAAGGGAGTACAATTGGCAATCAACAAAATGTAGCCATTTAATCATTAGACAGTTCAGAAAAAGGGTTTTGCTGACAAGTATTTCTTTTTCACTTAAACCATTCTGAATAAGATGAAAAGGAGATTTCCATTATGGACAGTAAACAGTTTGCACCTCAACTGCTCCCCAAATCTCCTACTCCTTCCTCCTCTCAAATAAACAAACAAAGCTTTTGCCTGCCATTTCCAAAACCAGCAGAAAGAATACTTCTGTTTGTCTACAGTGACCTAGCTGCTTCAGTTGAACAATTCCGATAGCTCAAAAGGACAGCAACAGATGTTTCCTTGCAAATGTTTGTGGATATTTCAGCAGCTGGGTTACAATGTGTTACAATCATTTTATGCTCCACATTTTTATGCTAGGATTACACCTGTTCCTTGTAATATTGTCTATGTACTGAACTCTGTGGCCTCTACATGTTTTCAGAGACAAATGATTCAGTATTATTGAACTTTGTGAAGTACAGGATGGAACGTCACCAAATTATGCATTGAACTTACTGTTCAAGGTTAACAGCTTCAGTAGTTAATGGGTTATTGCAGCTCCAATGATATATAAAAACAATCTATTTGCTATTTTTGGTTAAAAAGACACCATCCCTCAGCTATCACGGTTACAGAGTGACAGAGGTGGACCGTATTTCATGTCTTGATGAGAAAGATCAAAACTGCAGGAAGAAGAACAGAAAACAAAATGGAACATCAGTTAAAACGTTAACTTTGATTTTCATTCCACACTAAGAGGCACTAGTTATATTATGGGCCCTGAATTTGGCTTTTCCACTTTTTCCCCCTCCTTGCTTCTTTCTTTCTATTCTTTTTTGGGGCTCGATTGCCCAAAGCGTAATTTTTAATGAGACCTACCTGTTCTATCTTCTCTTTCAGAGACCCTGTTTTACAACAATAACAATAATCAGAAATAAAAAGCAGTACAATGTTGTAATCCTAACATGCACAGGGCGAGACAGAGATGAAGTCTGAATGAGAAATCCTTGAATTGAAGGAATTCACAAGTACCTGCCCAGGTTTCCTTGCTGATACATTATTATCCATGACATTTATTAATTAAAATGAATGACCAGTAAATTTCTTTTCAAAATAACCAAGAAAATTTCAATCCTACCCAAGGACTGTCTTCATTAGGAAATGACTGAGCCACCTGTAAGATGCTGAAGAATATCCTATTCTAAATCAGACTTACCACAAAACATTTCATGAATCATTGCCTTCAAAACCATAAAATTTAGACAGGACCAAATCAAACTTCTCTTGTCTTCTTTTTTTTTTCCCTCCTATCCCTCCTGTGAATGAGCATATTTTAAAATGCACACCTCTTTCTAAATTAAAAATGAGCATTTTTTTAATTCTTATTTTTATCCAAAATCTTCTGGTTCATCTGTAATAAAAGTAACAAGAACTAATCTGTATTCTCTGGGCTCCCAGACAACATCCCTAATATGGACCATATGTACTTAGGTCCAATTTGGTCGGTTTAACATCTCAAGCCATTTCCTGTTTAGTTTATAGACAGACAGATATATAGGGCATAGTAAAGTTAGCTAGTTAAAGAAATAAAATATGCTGAACTTCTGATATTTCAAATACTGCTTTGTGCTGTTCAGTGCTAAGCTACTATCTTTTGCCTGGCATACCAATAAACTCCACTTCTGTTGTGATACAGTTTGGACCCTAGATGATAACGATGTTTCAACTTTGTCAGATTGAATCAGGTAAGAAATAGCTTCATGTCCGTATGCACAAAGGCTCTCTAACATGTACAACAGTAAAGGCTAGACCTGCAGTAAAAACAAGAAAAATGGTTTTATTATGACACTATAGTTGGGAATTTCCCGTTTGTCTCCTTAAAAAGTTAAGCACCATCACTTAATCCCAGAGCAATGAATACCTTTAAAATAGTATCTTGTCTTTGGTTCTATCACAGAGGGTAGAATGGCAGATAGTCTGACCCGAAAAAGAAACCAGGACCAGTAGTAGGGACAAATTAAGTGGTAGGGACAAATTAAATGAGGATTTCTAGGTGGTTACCTGGAACATATTAGCCTTCTCAGTAAAAGCAGTACTGAAATTTAGACATCTAAAAACAGATCTTCAAATAAATAAATAAATAAATAAATAAAAATCACAGATCTGAAAAAGAAATTTCAACAACTGTCTGACAATTTGTTTTAATCTGTATCTTGGAAGAATTTCTGAAGTTCCCTTGATTTTATTTTCTCTGTTATTAATAACAACTATTTCACTGCCTTGGCAGAAAGACTCCAACAGACCTGTTAATGCATCAGGTCCAGAATGTGTAATTTATAGAAAGATCACATGGTAGAGGTGCCACAAGTGGTCTCCTCATCGCAACATAATTCTTACAAATGATCTCTCTTTCTACACATTCTTTTTAAGAACACTGAGGAAAACTACTTAGGTAAGTGAGCACAGTCCCAAACATTGGTTTCTCATTTATACCACCAGCCTGAGATAATGGCTAATCAGCTATTACTAAAATTGTTAATTTTAGTAATCTTATTACATATTACAGGTTCAAGACAAGGCACAAACATACTTCAGACTGTGTACAGTTAACATCTGGAACTCTTTTTCATATGTTAAAGTGCTAAAAGCATATGTTCATATGCCAAAAGGCAAATTGCTGGAGGCAGGGATAGTAGTCACAGAAGGTTTCACTATAGGCTTTCTTCATTCTTACATCCTTTCCTTTTGGTGACTATTAAAGTTTGGACTCTTATCCTATGTGAACTGGCCCAGAGCCATTACTATTTTCTTAAATGATACAGAGAAAGAATGAACATACTGCTCCTTGTTGTCATCCTAGGAGTCATCACACAACCAGAAACTCCAGTATCATTTACATTTTCTGCTTTTCAATAGGATGTGGACATTTTCAGCAGGAGAAGCAAGATTCTAAACAGTGCTACCACTTAAAGCATTTAAAGCTTGCCTTATTGCTGTTTGCCTAATTTTCAGCCACACATAATTACAACGTTCAGGCCTGTTGTGATCAAGTTAAATAGCTTTACTCTCACAGAGTACGGACAATTGCAAAATATGCAGCAAGATTTTTCATTTCAAATTAAGTTTCTTAACATCACTTATGTCTGTAGAATCAGAAAGGGAAGTTTTAAACAGTTCTTCAGACTTTCTCTCCACAGCAGCTATTTATCTAGGGAAGCAGCTACAAATCTGCCCACGTGCTAAATATTTCTTTTAGTTGCCACTGGCAATCTGAGTTGGGGGAATATCTGCAGGGAACAAAAAAAATTACATTCTTTTGTCACATAGAAATGTTCAAGTCACTTATTCTAAGAATCTGCAGTTCAGTAGTTTGTGCCTTTTCAAATCCTTTGCTGATAGCCCATGGAAGCAGATAAGAGCATTCACGTTCTTTTTTTCATTTCATTGCTAATTGCTATACTTCAGCTTTGTAAGAAATGCTTGACATAATGATCCTGTTGTTCAGAGTAAGGCTTTATTTTCCAGAAAAGGTTGTTTTTACTGAATCACATTATCAAAACCCAGATAAAATAGGAATTTCATAGATGAGATGCATTTTCCTTTAGTCCAAAACATTATTATCATGTCTGCAATTCTCAGATCATTATAGGAAAAGTGTTAACATCATAAAATATAGGAAACGATTATGAGATGCCCCCTCACCTTTGTGGTGGCACCTTATTTTTGTTGAGTGAGGCAGGCTTCCAAAGATTTCCTTCCCAGAGCTCCAAGCCCATGCACAGACTGAATAAAATCAAGCTTGCCTCAGCAGCAGGCAGCTGAGCCTGGGGAAGAGAGTCATCTGAGCTCCCCTTCCCTTCCCTTCCCAAGGCCTCTTCTGCTTAATAACGCAAACTCACAGGACCCAGACTGTCAGTTCACAAAAGCATATGCTTTTTAATAACCCGTGGGAACCACGGGAGTATTTACCTACTCAACGCTATTCTACCTATGTCAACCTCCTAGTCCCAGATTTCTCTAGCTTTTTGTTCATGAATATCTTGAAATGTAAGCAACTTCCCTATGCCTTTGTCTTTAGTTAGCAGTTTCTTAGTTTGTAGGACAGACAGTTGAAACTTAACTAAAATTTTTATTGTAAAAAGAGCCACTGATAAGTGCATGATTAGAAGGTGAATATCAAATAAGCTTGCATTGTCTGCCTCAAACAGAAGCATGAAAGGTATAGCCTGTGTGGTGGGTGGTGTTTTTTTTTTTCTTTTTTTTTTTTTTTTTTTTTTTTTTTTTTTTTTTTAAATCTGTGCCACAGGAAAGAGGTGCCAGCGTTTCAGTGCCTCATTTAATCTCTGAAAGATGGCAGTAAATTTTACTACTGTGACCTTTTGTATGTTCCTTAACTTGAATTGCTGGTCATTTGCTGTTCTTCCTAGTTAAAATATCAGTAACCAGCATAAGGGCATGGGAGCCATTTAAAATACAGAATACTAATTTTTTCTCTTTATTGTTCCACCACAGTTGCGACCTCGGTACGATCATCGGATACTCAGTTACAAGCCCTTGTATTCACCTTGTTTTATAACTTATTATCTGGTGCCATTCAACAGAGTTATACTTTCCATTTGTTCCAATTCACCTCACAAAAAGTTTTACTGTGTTTGACATTCTCTCTTCCCCGGTTTGGTAAACTTTGGGGATATTTAGAAACAGAAACTTATTTCCACAGCCCTACATTCTTCTAAATCTAAGACTGAAAAACTGAAAACAGACACATTAAATAAATAAATAAGCAAGCCACATGGCTTTGGCTCCAAGTAAGCCTATACTGACTGATCTACAATCATCTATGCGTGAAACAAGAAGCTGATAGTCAGCTTCTAGTTAAGTGCAGCAAGATCAGCAATCCGCAGGTCAATGGAAGATGGTAAATACTTACAGCTTTTGAAAATGTATAAAATGGTTCAGGTTCTGAACACCCAGCTGCAATTTCATTTATACTCCATTCTAGGAATCCGATCACCCAGGAGAAATGAATAGATTTTAAAGAGCTGAGAGAAAAGCAGGAAAAAAAAAAAAAAAAAAGAGTCTTGGGAGGATCAGTTGGTAAAGAAGAAAAATGTCAGAGTACATGGCTAAACCACTTCCTTGAGTAAAACAGCAAAGCCAGCTTTAGCATTTATAAAGGTGTGAATATACGTTACTCTGAACGATATACTGAGTCAGAGCAAGCAGTAGTAAGCAACTGTACTTACTGCTCCAGACCTTGCCAGCTGTGCACTCTGCACAGTTTCTTCCCTGCACTATCCTCAGAGCCCAGGCAGGCCTGTGGGCTTCTCCTAAGATGTCATCACATAGGTAACTAAGGCTCCACAAATTTGGACACTTGCATTTCCCAGCATTGCCGGGGCAAAAGGATCTCTGCCTGAATAGTGTCATCAAACAAAACTGGGCCAAGGGAAGATGGAGGGAGCATTTATAGGCGTAACAACCAGGCAGCATAATCTGCCTCAGAAAAGGGGCCTGTGTCATCAGTGGCATCACAAGGACAGGTTAGCAGATGGCTCTCCTACATTCCCAGTGTAACGCTGGACACCCTAGCAGGGGAAAGCATTAAAAAGAGTTCCTGCTATTATGTCTATGAAGGACAAAAGATGCTTTTCATGCCAGATTAAAACTCTGGGACAGAAGTGCATGCATTTTCTAAGCCTAGATGAGGGTGATGATATGTACTATGTTTTTAAATGTATTCAGGAAACTAGGAATGGCTGAGAACAAAGGAACTCAACCCAGAGCCTTCACAAAAGCTTGTGCATTGCTCCACAGTTCCCTCGTAAAAATTTACTGCATGTAGGACAATATTCAAGACCTATCATTTTGCTGTAATCGTCTCTTAGTAAATAAGAAATAGATTACAGTTCTTGAAAACGTTGAGAAACAGTACTCCTTTTGGCTAACAAGCTGTGCTGAAATACAATTAGCACAGAAAAAAAAAATCAAGTTTGTGTCATCAGTAAAGCAGCTATTATAAAAACCTATCCGCTCCTACAGACTAAATTCGACAATAAGTGTATTTGATGCCCAAAGAAATCTACGATATTTGTCCAGAGGCATTTAAAAGAAGCATAATTATGACTTTAGGACTACTTACAATTTTAAGAAGAGAGGGGAAGGGAAATTTGTTTTCTATAAAATAAAATGGAAATGAGAAATGAAGAAAGCAAGTCAGAAAGAATGCAGATGGAAAAGGCTTAAGCACTTTTCCATTTTTCTCTAGTAATTGGTTTGGGATATTCTTTATTTTGTTCATGCCAAGCGTTCTCAAATTCAGCTAGTCAGTGCAGACTGCCAACAACTCACAGCAGCAAGTGTCTAGAAAATTTCCAACTGCTAATTTGAGTCTGGCTGTTACTCAGTTTGATAAAGAAATCCTCCCACTTACCTTATTCTTATTTCATCCTCTCCAAGGAGCTAGGCATATGTGAATCTTTCTGGGTCTTGTATCTTATTTAATAAGGAATATGTCTCTATGGGGGAAAAGAGGACATGAATTAGACAGGGACAAGGATGGGAAGAAATCCATACCGGAAATTTGAAATTCTGAACAACAAAAAACTCTTAGTCTGCATAGCTATGTATCAAAAGGGCACATGCTGTATAATTTGAAAGTCAGCTCATCATGAGAGCTGTGTTATACAACGGAGTATACAGTTATTTTTGCATAAACCACAAGGCATTCGATCCTTTGCACACACATCACCAGAACTGGAAGATGTCTGGTTCAATTATTTTTCTGAGATTTTCTGCAGATATTTCATAATCCATAAACGTCACTTATGAAAGTGTGATTACATCACCTCTTTGTCAACATCTGCACCTGCCCTTATCAGCACGCCATTTCCTGTCCTGCTCCCATCCTTTTTTCTTTCCACTTCTTCTCTTTTATTCCTTATTAACCCACAAAATATCAATAGTGAGTACACAAGAAATACTGTGATTATCGTCACTTTGAGAAACATATTGTGAAAAGTCTTCCACCTAAGCAGCTCAAGTTGGTGAGTACCACTTTCAAAAGACATGAGGTTCCCAGCTGTTCATCTCACCCGTTTGCAGGGAACGACTGCCCCCGCACCAGAGCATAGCGGGGTACATACCTGCAATGCTGCCACCAAAGTTCACCCACATAGCATCAATTAAAAGGCTGAGCTCTGAACTGCAGTCGCAGAAGTGTTAGTGCACAACTCATTCTGCTGAGGCAGTAACCTCTGGCACAGGAGGGGAATGCAGAAGTAGGGACAGCAGAACTTGAAACTACTACCACTAAATCACCAACGTCCATCTGCCAAAGTCCCCAGACATTGGTCTCCAAAGCACTAGTCTGGGTTTTGGAAGCAGAAGAGCCGCACAACCACAGAACCTAGAAGCAGCTTCTTTTTAGGACAGTTAGCTCAAATGTTGACATGCAGAAATCACTACTGAGTCCAGTACAAAGGACAGTTTTGAGCTAACTCTGGCACTTCTACATACCACTGCACTAAGAGCCTGACCACTACTGCCCACTGAGACTTTGGTTCCTCACTGCCCTCATGAAACAGACAGCAAGTTCCTAAAAGCCGAGCATCTCTGGGAGATAAAAACAGCCCTTGTCTATCAGGAAAGGTGACTATCAGTAGTCAACATTTCTTAAAGGTTAAATGGCCTAATGTGCGATGGGGGTATGGACAAGAATAGAGCTACAAACATTAATTATTACCCTCCTTTTCTGTCTCTCCACTGGTTTTAGACTGCTCTCGCTGCCCTCTCCCCACACACCCTTTGGGACAGGCAACATCGACTAGACAACTTCAGAACAGAGCCGTGCAGAGACTGCATGTATGCCTGCAGGTTGGCAGAATGTAACGTGAAAGGTTTCCATCACCACGACGTGGAAAGAGACCCAATATTTCAGGAGACGGACTCAGGCTCAAATGAGTGCTCTGTCTGTATATGCATGTTTGAACTTCCGCAGAGGAGGAAAAAAATATTTCAAACAGTGGGAAACAATTTATTTTTTGGTATAGACAGTTCCTTTACATCCAAAGAGAATATGCTGATCTAAACAATCCTTTGAGGATTTTTGTCACAGATACAATAGGTATAGACAGGCTACACCATAAGGACAGTTTTATTCTGCAATAAAGTGTTTAATAAGTATGTTTAATAAAAATTAGAACATATTCTGTAGCTGATAAACTACACAAAATGTTCTCAGTTTTGTTCTAATCCATCTAATGCAGAGATATTCATACAATATTCAAAAGTAATGCTACACCACATTAAAAACAAAAACTTTTTAAATAGACTCAGTTCCTAAGAGCTTATTACATAATAAATGTTTGTACAAAAGTTTCAGTTCTCAGGTCTGCAGCCTGGCAGTCCCGCAAAAAAATGCGGCTGAACTAGTCACACTTAAACATACTCAAATATCCAGAAAAAAGAAGAAGAAAAAATGGAAAACACTAACTGCATATTGGAGATGCTGATGCTCTCTCAACGCAGGAAAAGCAGTTTTTGACCTAGATAAAATATAAGAGGACATTCAGATCAGCTGCTCCACTGTCATAATCTACAATTAATCTCATTTGTATATGCATAAGTGTTTATATATTGTAATACAGATATTTATTTTTCCTCCATAATACTAACCAGTTTTACTGAATGAAGACAGATCATCTTCAGAGTATTTAAAAGGAATAAATGCAGCTAAAAAACCCTCTAATTTTGTGTTGCAGTTATAACAGGTTAGCTCAGACTTTATACCTCAATAAAGCTACAGAAAAACATTAACATTTTACTCCCTTGAAAACCTGTTAATCAAATGTCTAGCTTTCATTAGCACAAAGCCAGCATTTTTTTTTTTTACCCCTTTGGAAAAGATAAACTACTTGCAAAGAATTGATTCAGCAAAGTACTTAAACCTGAAATGCCTCTTCAGGAGCCACTTTTATCTCTTAAAATTGGCACCACAAAAAACCATACATACAAATGCACATGCCTTTTCATCTCACTCTAACTATAATTAAAAGCACAAGATATGCATCTAAATGTCTAAAAACCCCTTTGAAATACCGAAGTGAAAAAAATAATATGAACTCTTTTGTGGTAATTCATGAATGTAATCAAAGAAAAACATTTTGACAGACTTCAGTTTTAACATGTCACTTAATTTTATAATAGCTTGTTTTCAAAATACAGCAGATGCTGTGATTTTGAGAGGGTATCACTATGCAAGTTTAACCTGCTTCCCTACAGTCTCAATGTCTATTCCTAAGAGGAAAGACTTACATGAGAATTAATTATTAAAGTGTTTTGGCTTCTGTCTTGTGGATTATAATTTCATTGGTAAGACAGCATTAGGAGAACAGATTTGAAATGCGTTTACTTTAAAGAGTAAGTATTTTTTTCCCATACACACATCCATGTGCATGCACACAGGCACAAACATTTGCATTTTATAAAGGCCAGTCCTCTACTGAGCTTTCTGTAGCTGAAGATGCCTTTCACAGAACTGCATATAATCACAGGTATATAGCTGATAACCAAACCAATATCACCAGGAATTTCTTCTTACTACTGATTTGACAGAAAGCATAATCAATGCAAAAGAATAGAAGTAGACATAATCTTTCCTTTCCCTTCTGATGTTTGTTCACCTATTAACAGGCTATCTAGAAAGTACTTTTTGTTTCTGTTTCCTGGATGTAGTTCAGCAGATAAGCAAAGCTACGGGAGCTTTAAAATGCCAGAAGAGTATAACTACCAAAATACAAGATCTGTCTCCAACTGCAAAACTAATTTCCTTTTTTTATTCCTTTGTTTACTTAAAAGCTTAAATTCAGAACTCATCAAATTGTTGTTTTGAGAAGATAAACTACATGCCTTTATTCAAGAGTGCTATAAAAATAAAAGGCAGAGTTTAAGTCCTAAAAATAAATCAATCCTTAACATAACAATCCTCAGATTATGGGGATTCATATGAAAAGGTTCAAACCGTCATCAGGCTGTCCTACCTCACTTTTGCCAATTAGCTCTGACTAGTAATATGACGTAAGGTGAATCTACCACTGGTGAAGCCACTGGGAATGTTCCAAGGTACACAGCATAAGATGCCCTGAAAAGGCAGATATCCAGCATTTTCGAAGAATCGGGCCTCTAAAAGGTATCTCAGAAATGATGCTCAAGAATCTTCATACCCAAAAATCTCTCATCTCTTGATTATCCTGGCACACAGCAGCAAAGCCCACAGGCTCAGGGCAAAGAAAATAATTGTAATTCCCACCTTCCTAGGACTTGGCAGCCTTGTTAGCTGTCGAGGCAGATATATGGGAAATACCGCCCTTCTCCACCCTTTTGTTCCATAGATAGAATCTGTCCATGGAAAGGCAGAGGAAATGAGCTGGCCTCTAAACATTGTGTGAGGGAAAATAAAGGAGATAAGCAGAAAACTTGCTGTGTCATGATGTTCCTGTTCTGTGAGTAAACAAAGGATTAACGTTCTAAGGTTATCAAATCTCATATGCTTCCATAGCTTCATATTCACTACAAGAATTTTAATTAAAGAGAAACCAACAATACTTCACAGCTTGTGCAAATTATTGTTATCTTGCTTTCTTTCCAGATTAACCCTAAAATCACTGAAGTAGATTTTCTTCTGTTGATGATACTGTTAATTTCATGCTCTTGCATCTTCTTTCATGCTCTTGCATCTTCTTTTCTTGCACAGATTGCTTGATTGCATTACTTCTAATCTCACTCATCTCTTCTCAGAGACGATCAACGTTAATGACCCATTACGTGAGTTATTTTCAATAACCTTGCTGCAGCAAGGTGTTTGGGTGTGAAATTTCTTCAAAGGCTTGTGTAGTGCTCACAATCCCTACCACAAGAGAAAAAGTTGGCAGATCTATAGCTGCAAAGGTTTTCAAAAGGATGCTTTCAACTTAACGTTCATACTGAGCCACATCCAGGAAGTGCAAGTGTACCTCTTTGCAGAGCATAGCATTCAAAAGACAGGAATAGAAGGCTGAGACAGAAGGAATACTGAAGAAATTGGACACAGTATCAGGGAGGAGGGAGCGTGCAAAATTAAATAACAGGCTGAACGAAGATGAGATGAGCACGGATGACGAGGATAAGAAAACAAAACGTAAGCCAGCGGGATTGTGGAAGATAGCAAAGAGAATAAAATATCAAGAAAAAATTGGAACGTGGGAAACACTAGAAAGTGCCAGAGGGTATTTCCTCACCTTGCTGACTGGTTACAAGTGGAGTAATCAATGCTCTGCAAGTGGGAAAGCGCTAAGGGCGTTCTTCTCTTGTTCTTCAGAAATGATGCATATTACAGAGTGGAAGGATCCCATTAGATTCTATCACCCCCTCCCACACCCTATTAGCTCTCAATTCCTTGAATCCCCTTCTCTTTTTTTCTCTCTCAATATACAGTTGTCCCCAAAGCTACGTCATTAGTGCCTCACTGTAAGAAAATGCTCTGGCAAAACCCAGCGGGGCAATTCATTTAGAACAATGTGCCTGACACCACGCAGCACCATTTCACTTCTGTGATGGTCCTACGGAGGCACAGCAAACTGAAGAAATGCTAACAGGTCACTCAGGGTGGAACCTGACATGAGAAAAGCTACAAAACTGTCAGACAAAGCTTCCTCGTCTTACTCCTGGTAGTTTTGAAATTTTCTGTTGTCTATTAAATACGGCATGGAACAGAGCAAAATACAGAAGTAAGGCTATTTTAATCAAAATGGATGGATGGAAGATGCATGCTTGTCTGGGCCCCTTTGTCTGGGATCAGATGCATATACATAGACATACCTGAGGAATAAAGCCTGATATATTGATCTAGAAGATGAATAAAGCTTATTCTATGGAGCTATCTGAATGTCTTGTTAAATTAGTTAGTATTGCGGAAGAAATCTATCACATAAAGTAGTCATAAATGAAAACAATGTTATCACAGTGTTGAAAGATAAGGGATGTTTTCCTTATTTGTCCCGAAGACTATCACTGCAAATATTTGATCAAGCAGTTATTTCAAAAAAATCCAGTCTCGGTTTCTTCTACTTAAGGTTCCTAGAAGAGAACATGCAAACTTACAGCATTCCAAGTCCTAAAGGAATTCGGTCGCAATATGAAAAACAGAGAAGAAAGATTTCTATCATTTGAGTGAAGTAACTTTTCAAATAGTTGCACCTTACTTTAAGAATACACTTTTGGCCACATAATCTGAAATCAACACCTGAAAAATCCAGGATACTGGGTGCGTTTACACTATCGAGTGGTGAGGCAGGAAGAAGGAAGGACTGAGGTTTGATGCGCTGCAATCCATTATGGTTCCAAACCACACGCCCACACTGCCTCTGTACCCACAATGAGGTTCACAGCAGCTGCCAGTCCTAGGTGCACACCGTGCATGCACAGAGGGTGCTCACTGCTGGAGGGCCTTCCTCTACACTGCAAGCAGGGTAGCCAGAACGGCATCCCGCTACGTGCCTTCAGACTTGGTTCCAGCAGGAGGAAAACCACTGCTGCACTCCACTACATACAGCAAGTCTAGTACAGGCACAATGCAAATTCACACCCCCAAAAAAACCCTCTTGCTCACACTACTCATATAGAAGCACCCCTCATGACCCTGAGTTCTTCTCCCAGCCCTCATCAACAAGCAACATCAAAGACAGAGGCTGTGCCATTTTGACAGTATGTTCAGCATAACTTCCAGTCTGATTTCTATGAGGAGAGGCTGCATCTGTCAATCTGAGTGACAAGCTATCCAAAGTTTTAAGCATTGCTCTGACACCAATCCTTTCTATCATCTTTTACAAATAACTTCGCTTCAGCCTTTTCCTTAGTAAAAACTGAGGAATTACCCACTGGGGAGGACTATGCCCTGAGGACCATGTGGGAGAGTAGAAAGCATACACTAGAGTAATTGTGTGACTACATAAATCTGCAGAAAAAGATGAAACTCTTCTGAGTGGTTATATAATACTTCGCACATGCAATCTCTCCATATGCACAAGGACCCAAGGGCATCACTGCTGGAATATTTCCTTCTAGTGGCAAAGACATATGCATAGACACCAGGAAGGAGTTAGAATGAGAAACTGCAGGGTTACACTGGAACATCTAAAAAAATAGGGCCCAAAGACACAAAAGCCAGTGAGTCAGAGGCTTTTAAGGGTCATCTGAATCTCAAAGTTGAGTGAATAAACGTCAAATCTAAGTCCTGCTGTCACATATTCTGAAGGTTTCCTGGGAAAAGTATTCGGCTGGTTTTCTGAGCCTCTAGTTCCTTCAGTACATAGTGTAAGATGACGCACATGTATCCAACTTAGATCAGTTATTGTGTTTGTTTTCCCTCTGCAACTATTCAAGAGCTGCCAGGAGCTATGAAATGAGAAGAAAGGTGCTTAAAAATTTTAAAGTAAATTCCGGGTCGAAAATTAAGCCTCATGCATCTTCTGTCTGTGATTCTTAAGGAAAAAGGTTCTGGAAAAATCTTTCTGGATGCATAATAAAGACCATACAAGCAATAATACAGCTGATAAATCAGAAAGTAAAGGGAGAAAATTCCCAAATGCCAATAAAGGAAGCATTTCCACTAACATACGAGGTATAATAAATGTATTCCATTTTAAAAACAGGCAGTCACTAACTGCCGTAACCAAACACGCACCTCAGTGGGAAGATGTGAATTAGGATAGCAAACTGGCAGAATGCAAGTAATCTAGTGCACGTTCAGCCTGTTTTCTTAAGAAGAAAATTTCTCACAGAGAAAATAGGACCCTACCTGTCTGTTCTGGAGGACTTACAGCTCCTTGGGAAACAGCCTTGAAAACTTCTTGAAAAAGTCTATTGGGCTTTATTAAGTAACGAACAGTGCACTTCACCTTCTTTCATCAAACGAGTAAAGGCTGATGTTTATCTACTAATCCTGTTCACCCATAACAATCAAGAGATATGGGTCTTTGTTCTGCCTTTCAACATTTCCTTCATCAAAAAGCATTTTCTTCTGTAGGGAGTAAACAGAATAGTGATCGTGTCAAAGAAATCTCATTCTTTTATGCAGCTTAAGTCTTGGAGTCTCAGATGGCATGCTTGAGCACATCCACACCAGTTTCAACAGTCTTGCCAGTTCACTCCCCTAATGGATCCAGCCTATGATGTCATGAGGTCACATTAACTCCAGATAAAAAGAGCTGGCCTTCAAAAAGTTTTGTCTATTTTAGGGTTAAAATTTTACTACAGAAATTCACATATGGTTTCCATCTTTTAAGCTTCTCATGCTGAGTGGATATTCAGGAATTATTTGCGGTCTCAGCATCAATTCTTGGCGCACCTAATCAAAGACTGTATATTAATAACATTGACAAAGAGTAAAAACGGTACCTGATTTCCACGGGTAGCGTTACACGAATGGAGCCCTTTTGCCTTTACGTTTAAGCTAAATGATTATTTTTTACAGAATATAAGTTCTTTGCAGGGCAGTCAGAATGCACATTTAAGAATTATTAAAATTCACTGAACTCTACTCAATGAGACGTGACACTGTATAATTACTTGCCCTTTGCCTTACTCATCATCAGCCATTCTGTTTCTGCATATACTAAAACATTCAAATAGATCACAAATATATGCATAAACTTAAAGCACTTCAACGACTTCGTTTAACCTACAATACTTCATGACTATAACAAGTCAACTCACCTAAAAAAAACATAGGACTCAGATGTCAAACTGAAGTTGGGATTTACGCTTTGCTGATTTGTTCACATTCAGAGTTTTGTCTGTTACAAGCCTGATCCAAGGTCTGCTGAAACCAATGAAAGAGTTCCTTCTCCTCTTTAAAGCATTTTGGATCTGGCTCTATGTTCTCTGAGAAGAAAGAATAAGTCTCTTTTACTTTGAAAAAGAAAACACCAACTTTAAGCAGAACAAAGTAGAACAGTCCTCCGAGTGAGAAATTATAGTTAACTTGAGGCAGAAACACAGTAACAATTTTATTAATGAAACAATAGCATACAATAACAATTGTGATAGCAAGATACAACCAATAATAGCTATAGAAATCCTTGTGTATTTTTTTCCATGTCTGTGACATGAGCATTGTATAAGCATAAGGTCTGCAGACTGTGACTGAGCCTTCCTTTCTCCTCACAGAAAGCTAACAGAGAACCAGGCGCAAGATCAGATTAATAGACATGACCTCTTTCCTGCTTACAATTCATAACCCAACTACAGTGTCAAACAGCAAACCAGACTTCAATATTCTTCCGATGAATATTAAATAAATGAGTATAATAAGTAAAACTACAATTACTAGTACAATCTTCCCATTACTCCATAAAGTGAAAGTGCCTGTGGAATAAATTCTAGCTGCTTTCCTATCAGGACAACCAGCCTCAGAAAGAAATAAGAAAACTATGAATAATTCAGGATTTAAGTTGCTTTATGCAAAAAAGGGCCATGTATATAAATTTCAGATGAATCCCACACTTGCTGAAAAACAACTCACTCACTCACTTTCAGAATAATAAGTGAAGAAAATAATTTCCTTTCAGGCTACTGTACTGCGAGCCTACTTTGCATCCTATTGAGCGCTCAGTGAAGGATTAACTGACATAAGCATCTCAGTGCTCCTTATCCTGAAGGTGTGAGCCGCAGCATTAAAAGCCTTCGTAATCTCGGATTTTGCTTTTTTTATTACTATTAAATTAGCATATTTGCATAGCCAAGACTGTCAAAAATTAGACAGCAGAACTTATTAAACAATAAATCAGGATAATCAGATCACATCTGAATACCACTTTTACCACTTTTCCTAACTCCAGTGAGGGGAAAGGATTAGAGTGACAAGTTCTCTGATGCTTTTGTCCCTGAATCTAATTCTATTAAGTCATTTACTAATTTTCAAAGGGCCACCAAAAAGTAAAACGGAAGAGCATCCCACAAAATGTACGATTAGCACAGTTTCAAATTTGTCCTGAAATAGAGTTCCACAGCCTGCATCCAGCAAAGCAGCAGAAAACCTGCTACCCCAGCAGGTCTGCCCAGATACATCAGAGGAAAGTACACAAACCTACTCAGTCATGATAGGATATTGTTGCTGCTGAATTCTTCAGCTCACCTCTCCGAGCAGAATTTTGCACTGAAAAAAAACACATCCCGTCACGTGTCTTAACTCCTAGCCTGCTATGCAAAAGGTGGAGGCAATTGCCATTAGAAGCAGCTGCAAAACATTTCTAAACATCAGTGCAGTCCCAAGGGGTTAGCCTTCATCTGACCGCAAAAAGCCTTTCAAGTTTTCTTCAGGACTAAGGCCTCATCCATCTCTTACAACAGAGATTCTATTTCTTCAGCCTTGCACAAGAGCCTTTAAAGACATGCTTCTGAATGGATGTGCCATGTCACTTCTATTAATTTTAAGTGTATTCAAGAGTTAGATCTTGTTTGCAGACAAGCAGTCTAAATCAGTCTCCGAAACTTTGAAACTTAAGTTTTTCCTAGCACCCTAGCATTGGTGATGATTCAGTGACAGATGTGAGGTTATATCACCAATAGCTCAGTCGTATTCATATTTTCTTTGGTTATAGTTTAATTTTCTCTTTATAATATTTTGATATTTGGATTTTGGACAGATCTCGAGTTCTCACAATCATGATTTTAATCTGCTTTATGAATATCTGTGCTCACATGAATACAAAAACACTCATTAAATACCTGAATTAGCTCCCTGATTAAAGGATTACTTAAAGGTTACTGTCTCCATCCTGAGACAAAAATCACATACAAAACTTAATTCATCTGAAAAAGCATCTCACCAATGTGTCTAAGACAAGTCTCCAGTTGAGAAGGAATAAAACTCAAAATATATCCATGGGGTTCTTTATTCAGAAGAAAGCCATTCCATTCTGGAAAGTAAATCTGCAGAGTGAGTGAGTATTTTCTGATTGCAAATTGATCACAATGACCATTATGTCAAATAGCCAAGTCATGTGAAAAGCAAGTCATAACAGTAATCAACAGCGGTTTTTTACGTTCCTATTTGTTGTTTAAAACCAAACAGAACAAAAACTACATTTTATGGAAGAGGATGCATAAGGGCACGTGAAAGAAGGTCACAGAATACTTGCCTGAATGAAATTTGAGGGGCTCTCATTCCTAAGAGTGCGCCTACATCATCATCTTTTAGGTGTGGTATCTACACAAATCTACAGTTGGAGTAGCTCCTCCTTTATCGTGATGCAGTGGATAAGGAAAATTGTCCCCATCAGGAAGGCATGGCAGAGGATTCTAGTGTGTGTGCACCAAGTGGCAGCTCCTGCAGGCAAGACAAGGCAGGCAGTACACAACCCATTGCACAGTCAACACTTTATTTGCATTACGTAGTGCCTAGAAAGTCTACTGTGCAGACAGATAACAAAGAAATGGCAGCTTTCCCAGCCTCCTGCTGTAAACCGTCTGCAGCTGCCCCCTTGCGTATCATCTGCTGCTCACTGTCTAATGTTAATTGCATTGTCAGATGTTAATAAAGAGTGGGGGAAAAAATAAGAAATACAAACACATCATCTTGTTTCTGTCATTTGTTCTTTTATGCGCGTGAAAGAAAAGTCATGTAGAGACACACACACTGGGTATTTTTTCCTAAAAACACATCAGGCAGTCTCCAGAGCATAAATGGACTGTTACTCCATTTCACCCATAAAGCAAAACAAAAAGGCCAGATGCTTATGAATTTGACTCACTGAACTCAAAAAGCTGCAGTGAGTCATATGTTCCCTATGCTCACTGTGGGGTTGTCATAGCAATGATTTCTCCCTGTCATTTTTCACTTTACTGCAAGACCCTCTGGGCTGGATCGTGCTTAGCTCAGCACATGTAAGTGCATATATAGAAGATGAGGGAACAGCTTTGGAACTTGCGTTTTTCCCCTCGCTCCATTACAAAACATCCCTCCATTCAAAGGGCAGCCTGGTACAGAGTTCCTGACAGGAGTGAGGTTGTTACCCGAGGCACAGCAGCCAAAAGAGCTGGCCCAAAGCAAAACAGAAAGCCTTTTTACAGGGCCACAATCAATTCACACACCCCCAGGGAAAGCAGAATACCTAATTTATGCTCGGGTATGTCGTTACACACTACAAAATACAAGCGACTTGCTACTTGCCTTCAGACATAAGCTCGTAAGTCTCTTAGGTCTTTAGTAGGAGGCATATTAACTTCACAGCCTGCTGAGGGTGGTGGTGGCTGGCCCCACTGCAGCTTTGTTGTGGTTCAGGGCACTACGCTAGTTCACTTGCTCACTGAAAGAAAAACCAGTGATACAGGGTCAAGACGTTTTCTAGCATCATGTTTTTATTTATCTTGAACAGAAAGATTTAGAAGCAGCACAAGGGCAATTCCTTGCAGAAGCCTCAGTTAAGATGTTATCCCTTTCAGTACTTCAATGTTTTAGCACTGTCAGACTTCTTTGGCGTCAGTCTTCAATCTTCTCACCTTGGAATTGCCCAGCCCAAAGTTACTCATCTCATATGCTGGGTGTAATCGCTCTTCAGGACAAACGAACTTCAGGCAGGTTTGCCTGGAGCCAGTTTTTGGCCAAAGGAAAGCACTTATCCAATGCAAACTCTCTCAGCAATCACCAGCATACAATTATTCTGCGGGATCCCTCATGTGAAGCTGTGTTTAAAACTAAAAATAGTAAGTTCCACAGCAAGTGCTTGTCATTCGCAAAACAATTCTTTTTAGACCAAGCATTTACTATAAAAAACCATAGACAGTACAGTCTCATCTGCCCTTTTAATGTTTTAAGCATCTACATTTTCTCCCATTTTTAACTCTGGTTGCTTTTAGCTGAAATAGTTCTGAAACTCCTCCATCAGAAACGTTTGCTATGTAGGAAAGAAAAAGTCAGAGCAGAGCTACAAAAGTAGCGTGGAAAATGGGTTCAGCTACTGAAAGACAGAGTCATATACTTCAGGAAGAGAAAGGGCCTTTGGGTCATATATGGTAGCACACAGAAGAGGTAGTATCGAAGTGCAGGAAAAGCACGATAAGAAAAGGAAGCATAACTGACTAATCCAGAAAGCAATTTACTAAACAGTCAGACTGTCAGGGCTGGTCACATTAGACTAAACTTTCATAACTTGTAATATAAAAAGCTTTGCCTCTAGCTGCTAAATCAGAAGGTAATATCTCCAGGACTTTGAGAATTTTGTGGCCAATCTAGCTGCATAGCTCTGAACTCCCAGATCACCCGCATCTGGTGAATCCTGCGCTCCAGTACTATTACATCAGAATACAGACAGTAATTTCCTCAAGGGCTTTAGCAACAGGAGGAAAAAACACACATATATAGTTTACCACATCAGGCCTTGAAAAAATAAATTAGTTTGTCTAAGAAAATTTGTTTAGAAAATATTTCTAAGTATCAAACCTCTTCTTGCACCTGACTTGAGAGTGGAGATTAGAGCGCACGTGGGCCTCAGGGTCTTGGGGTAACAGAACAGAGCGCTGCAATCATTCTGCCACATACCTAAACGATGCTTGGTGGTCTCAGGGAAGAGACAAGAATGAATTGTCCTGAACCACTTTTTCACCTAATGAAACCACCCTCAAAGTAGATCCACTATTACAAAACAAGGTGATCTGTGCTCCAGAATAAAGCGCAAACAGGGAGGAAATACCAGTTCCACTCCTAAGATAAGGAAACTCTCACTGTGAGAATGAAAGTTACTGACCTGTGCTAGGGACTTTCTGTTTTGTTCAGTGATGGGCTCACAGCAGAGAGCAGTCTCTGAAGCAAGTGCTTTTAACTAGATTATTGTATTTTTGCTTATGAAGGATTTTATCATCTTCACGGCCACATATTTCCAGCATTACTACAACACCAGCACTGCAAAAACATACTGCACACGCAAATTGTCTATTCAGACAGAATTATACACAAATTGTAGGTGTGCATTTACTCTGCTCGAGCATGCAAGTCACACTGGTTTCTTCACTTGCCTGTCTGCATGAACAATTGTCCCACGGTTTTGAAAATGTAACCTCAGGTTGTTTAGTAGGCTTCACTGTATGCAGTACGTAGCATGTTTGTAACCCCCAGGCCAAAGTGTTCCTTCTCTGTTGACTGAAGTTAATATAATAAATGTGGAATTATTACCTTTTTCTTTATTTCCTATGTAATCCAAATATCATAATCAAAAATTCACAGAACTTGGCATGCTATTAGACTCTGACACAATAAATAATGGTCCAAAATGTTTTTGAGATACAAGCCCCTGAAGGTAACTATTCCACACAAAGCCCACCGTCCAAATTTCAGAACTAACGACTATTGTCGCTAGTGACAGGCATTATGAACCTGAGTTAATTACATTAGGAAGGACTGCAAACAGAGTAACAGCTCATAGGAAATATATCTTCTGATAGAATTTGTCATGGGTTTTTAATGCCAAAAAAATAGGGTCTGGCTGGGGAACAAAGCTAAATCCACCCAAAAGATGAATTATGTAATACAGAAATACTGCCTCTGCTTGCTGGTTAACATGTTTAAAAGACTGGTTTAAAACAGACTGTTCATGAGAAAACTGATCTCTCTGTCAATGGCAGTACAAGCAATATCGATATTTTAATGGGCAGCTGGCCACCAATCCCAGAGGGACTCTGGAACATCAACAGCGTGTATCAGTTTGCTGGCAAAATATCAGTCGCTCCTTGACAAAAGGGTATAAGTCTCCAAAACTCCTTCTGCCAGAACACAAACAAAACAATCACATATAAGCATAAAGGTATGTTCATATCAGTATATTCAGAAGTGCTTCTGTGGTAAAAGCATAGGAGGTGCTAAGACTTTTAAAATAAATAGTTACAGTGTTTTCAGAAATTTCTCATGATCTCAAACCACACCATTAGTGTGTAACTTCTTGCCTTGGCCAAAAGTGCAAAAATTTGACACTTTAGAGAGAACAGAGAATTATTTTTAAAACAGAACAACTGAAATGCAGTTACTTCAAATTACAGATCAGGAAGCATTTCGGTGACGCATCAGACCCCACAGCAAAAGTTTAGAATGTGTGGTTTCATTTTCATTTAATTAGCAATCAATTCAGTTAACTAATTTCCAAAGTTAGTCTAGACTCTTCCCAACCGTTGTGCCAAGATACGACTGAAATTTTATGGTAAGTTATAAAGATTCAGGTCCTTAAATAAAGGTTTGTGGAAACTTTGGAATAACATTCCACCTGTGTACGTTAGTCAAAGCAACACCGCAAACTGTAAGACAAAACACTATATGCCCTAAATGGATCCAAAATGGTGAAACATCAGGATTCACAGTGGTTCAGGGCTATCTCTATGAGATAAATATCAGGAGGGTAAGGTCTAAACTGCAAAAGACCAAAAATGACAAAATATTTTCAGAAGATTAACTTCCTTGCTGTGAGATACTCTATATCCATCCCAACTGCACATGCCATGGTTATCTGTCACCATCTACGGAGATGTCACTGCTATGTTTCAGAGGTCCAGAACACTTTGAACACCACAGTCTGAAATTACAACTGATCATTGCCTTAAACTCTTCCGACTTAAGCGGTAACAAAGAGGACACTAGGAAACTGCCAGTTCTCCTGCATAATATAAATGAGGCTCAAGGTAAAACAGTTCACTGTAATTCCACTTCAAATTATTTTAAATTGCTTATATTGTGCAGTACCTTTCCCTCATCTCTTCCTTCTTTAAATGGGAAATGCACAGTTTTGGGTAATGGCTGCTAACAAAGTTGAGAGAAAACTAAATTTGTTGTGGCTCCACTAAAACAAAATCCACAGGCCATTTCCAAGGAACTAACAGAACAGTCGAATAATGTACCATCTCCTTTTCAACTCTAGTGTAGAATAAAACTATTCAGACTTTTTCAAGTAATGACCAAGACCTCAGTTTCTGTGACAGTGTTACGGGTTTCTGTAACGTGAACAGAGTACAGTCTCTTGGGTAGGAACCAGGTGACAAAAGGAACTCTAGAACAATATAAAAGCCTTGTGAGGTTTATGTTATGCTCCAACTACATCTGGATATCATCAAGCATTTCATAACTATCTTCCATAAAAATGATTAAACTGTTTCTTAACCTCAGAAAGTTCCTAGCAGACTGCCTATTTGTATAAAACAAGGTACTATAGTTCAAAGCAAGTGTTTATTGTCAAAATCTCTCTTCCCAGTGATGCAATACAACTGTATTGCATACAACCATACAGGTGTACAACCGTAAGAGATTTTTCCTCTTTCGAAAGCTAGCAGATTTACGGTTTTAGTCAATTTTAACTAATATTAACTTTGGGGCAATCATCTCCCGCGTACTAAGGAAATATCAGAACTAGTTTTTTCAAGCTCTTAACTCTGGAATATGACAAAGAAAGTCTCTATTTTTTTCTGCGGATAGTTCATTCCTTAGAGGAAAAGGATCTAAAGGACATTTTCAAGCCTGTTCTATAGTACTCTGGAGCATTTCAAGGATTTCCTAACTAATTTTAAAAACTTTTCTAGAAGAAAGGTCAGGCTATTCTCTCCATGCAAAATAAGCAAAA